TTCCGATCCGCCAGTGATTTTCATTCATTCACACACATTTGCGTGTCTCTCCTCCCCTTTTCCTCTGATGGTGTTCATTTATTGTCGTGTCCGCTCCATCCCTCGTACGCTACAGTGAAGTTGGAAATATATCCTCGATAATCTCATGTTGATTTATGTATGTGCCACAGCTTTTTTAATCACATTCCCGTGTCACGTACGAAGTCACGGTCTCGCTTGAATCCAATCAGACTGAGTATTTTTGCCCTTCGGGGTGCACTTCGATACCACCACCACCACCGGCGTGGACCCTAAAATCCAGGCTGCGTGTACGTAATCCAGCACAGTGTCGTGGGACGAAAGTGGCGGGTGGTGTGTTTACTGTGGTGGCGGCGAGGGTATTATCCTGACGAAACTAAAACTGGTCAGGTCAGTAACACGGGGTGAGTCGATGAGATGCTTGGACTCTTCGTATCGCTCCCGATTGTTTTTCATCTTGGATGCTATAATTAAATACATTTAGTGTTTTCAATGACGAGCTACTTTATATATGTATGTCTCAAATAATCTTTACAGTTTAAATTGTTTTTAAAAAAACATACATATAAATTCTACACAAGAATTTCTCAGAACGTTTTTTGTAACTATAGCATCGAGAAGAAATTTTGGTTTCATATATGTAGTTGGCATGAAATCAATATTGTTTAAACCATTTTCTTTAATCATTTAAACCACTTCAACCATCTAAACACACACCAGTTGTTTCTTGCATTCTTTTTAAATTTCAGGTATAATATTTCTCTCTTATTTCTCAGAAAAATCTTGTAATATTTTATAAGTTATCTGTATATAAAACTGAAAATATTATCCGAAATCATATAAATAAAGCTTACTTTGTAATTTATAAAATTATTTTTAGGCATCATGGAAAAGAAATTGAAACCGTAAGGAAAAAAAGAGAAAGGGAAAGATTTGAGAATATAATCTTTTTATACATACACAATATTGCAATATCCATCGCAGATATTAATTATATTCTATTTATAAGCCATTGTTACTACGTAACAAAAACGTATATAAAATTAATTAAATCATACGGATATCATTTTCAACAATTGAGATAACAATTATCGCCATTAAAACAATACATACGTATACATCAGTGAATACATTTACACGGCACCCTTAATCGGGTTTAATAACATCCGTAGTTATGAAATTAACCAATCATAGTCATTCCATTCTTCATAAAAATAGCTATGATTGGTCAGTTTCATAACTACAGATTAATAACTACAGTTATTAAGGGTGCCGTGTAAATGTGATCACTATCATCTCTAATACGTGTTTATTAATAATAAAAATCTCGTTACTTTGTAATTCCTCTGAAAATACGTATAAAATATAAAATGTGAATCGAGTATAATTACGAGTATATATTATGTAATAGTGTGATAAATTAGTGTGATAAATCATAGGAAATCCCTTCATATCCCACATGTGCAACCGTTGTCGCGTGAAAACACGCGACTGCAGCGACTTTTTTTCTCGCTCTAGATTTTGGACGTTGACGCGCGTCGGGAGAACGCGGGAACGCGCGTCCACGACTACATTTACAGAAACATTAGAGAAATGATCGATACACGACAGGTCGCTATGACAAAAATAGACGAATGTTCGTAATGCGTCCGCATAGAGGTAAATATGTTTCACCGCTGCCGTGTGTGCCGGCTATGTATAAGGTAGTAGATAGGCATATGCGCGTATAGGGGTGCGTGACGCGCGACACGACGGGGTCGCGCAGGCGCTACCTGTAGACTCCGCGGAATACGTGATGATAAATACTAAATTTAACCCCCGGGTGAAACGGCGCGACGTCAGGCTATCCGGATCGATAACACTTTTCTGGCGTCTCCCTTTCTTTTTTTATCGGTGAAACGTGACTTCGCTTATGTAGGGCGTTTATGTATATAAATCGTTGACCGCAGAGATCGGCGGAGGCGCGTACCCCATCCGTGTGATACATCCGATACCTATCGTGTGACAAAGCCTTTATTAAAATTCCGCAACGCTTAAAATTCCGCTCTATCGGGCCGAGACAAAAATTTGCGCGAGACACGGCGGAGAATGTTAACTATCTACTTGTTATAAAAATAAAGTCTTTAAATTCTGGCAAGAGATTTTTAATATAATTAAAATAATTTTTTTTTAATTAGCAGTGTAAAAAATTTTATGTAGATATTCCATTAATTAAAGCTTCTGTTATAATTTTATAATAACTATTTTATATGGTATATGGTCGCATTTAAGCCAATATATTAAAATTAAACGCAAAATATTCCAGGATCGACGTTATACATAAAGTTGTAATTTATACTGTACGCGTTAATTAACTAACTTTCAATTAGTTACGCTTTATGAATACTTTGCTACAAGATGAATACTAAAACTATCGTAATTTATTATTTAATCACAGAAATAAAATCGAATATATTAATTTCTATTCTAATTCTCCATAATAAGATAAATCATATACAAAAGTTAGAGAAATTTTTATTTAAAATACAGAATTTAGTTGCAAGTAACCAATTTAATTTATTAAACAATTATTGTACTTTACACAATTTTTGAGTAATTAAAATAAAATTGAAATTTTAAATTCGCTGTTATATGTATAAGAACAAATATTATTTATCTAATAAGAACAAACATTATTTATCTGATATCATTTGTAACACATCTATATTTATATGTTAACAATTGGAATCCTATAACATCATTAAAAGCTATTATACGTATCATTTGATAATTTGTAATAGCTTTTAATGATGAATTTATTTAATTGTATAATAGAATATATAATCAGCCTTTTATATATCTATATTGCTCTTTACATCCATGAAAATGTCTGAAATATCAATATTTCTGCTTATTCCACATATTTCCATATAAATGTCATGCATTTCACGTATATGAGAAATTATTAATATAATTCCAACGAACGTAATTAAACAATGTGTATCATCCACGAAAATTTGAGACTAATCCAATCTATCAAAGGCAGTAATATTCAGCCCAACATAAAGTATATATTTTATATCATGTTCCATAATACTCTTTTAATTCAAAGATATAATAATAATAATAATATTGCATAGGATATGAAATAGGACTAAAAATATTGTTCTATATATTTATTCAAGTGGGAAAAAAAGAAGCGCTAGAACAACCGTAGAAAAAGATTACAATTATTTGTAATCTTTCAACCAAAAGGAAGTAGGATACTACCTAATTTATAAAAGACGGTCTCAACTTTTCTCATTGTGCACTTCAATCAGCAGTAGAAAGGATAAGCATAATAGTAAAAAAATTTAAATTATATTTCTAAAAGGTAATATATTAATTTAAATTTAGATTTTTCAAATGTTTTCTTAGACGATTATATCGCTAATTTTTCCTTCTCAACTTCAGATTTCTGTCTTCAAGAGATTATCTCAATTTTTTTAGTATCGTTTTAAAGCATATATACATATTTTATATATGTATATATACATACATATGTATTACAAACTGTTTATATCTTTATCTTGTTATAAATAATAACAACACTTTTTCAACTTGTTATAAAAAGAACACACATGAAATATTACACTTAGATCACTTGCATCTCAAAATAAAGTTCATGTTTTATGGAATCCGTTACGTTGACATACAATATATTTAAAATAATTTACATGTGAACAAATGCAGAACATTTTATCAAATACAACATGATGAAATGTATTTATACACAAACATTTACCACAAAAGTATGTAACGCTGTCGTATTAGACTCGTAAAATACACAAGTTTTTAGAATTATATACTGAAATACATTATTAGCTCCAATAAAATTATCAAAATTTTATTTATTATTGTAATAAATTGAAAAAAAATAAGCACATCTTGTTGGCCCTAAGAAACATAGTTTCTAAAAAACATGTTTGATATATATACATTCTCGTTCTTTTTATCTTTTTCTATTCTTTTTTATTAAAGAACATCTGATATCTTGAGAATATCTATCCTACCTCTTGAGAGGCTCGTCGTACCATCACCTTTATTCGCACAAAGTCTATCGACGAGCTTGACGTTTGATGTCTTTAAATCATACGCCCATCCCAACCAAGCCATGAAATCTATAAAAGCGGTAGTTAAATTGAGACGGTAGAAGCCAAGCTCCGCAGCCTTATAGTCCCACGGGAAGCAATGATGGTAATTGTGCCAACCCTCGCCCATAGCAAAGAAGGACACCACAGGATTCTCCGTTGACTTAAGAGTTCTGGAAACAAAAAAAAAGAGAAAAAAGAAGTTTCGCCGCTTGATCCAGGTCGGCTACACGAATAAACTTTTGCCGGAATATCATGCAACAGATTATTTAAGCGAAATAGCACTTTTTACAACCTCTTTCTTCTACACTTTATTATAACTATGAAATATAACAGTTGAAAAATATATTTATTTATGAATGTGTGTGTATTTAACATATTTATAATACATTTGTGTGCAGTTTACCTTAAAAAGTAGGGCTGTAAGAAAATCTTAAAATTCCCCGAAAATTTCTTATTGTTTATAATATCGATTTCTCTCGTGGAAAAAAATAAGTATAATTTTTTTTCTCCAAAATAAAATAAAAACACTTCGGAACATTTTTTATAAATATAATTATAAATACGATTTTGTGTTTAACATTATATTATAGGAATTATAAATAATATAATAATTACTATAAAATTTGTTAAAAATGATTTGTGATATATTTATTTAATCGAAGTATCGATTAAAAACCATCAAATAATATTGATCATATGTTGTCACTAAAAAACATTATCTTATCTAAGGACATCTCTCGATCATTTCGATTAAATCCTCATTAAATTGTAATTTAATTGATTTTATAATACTGATAGTACAATTTTATATTAAGTTAGAGTTCTTTGTTTATACATCTGAGCATGATCCGAACATTATGCTTAATTTTAATAATAATTGTGCAAACATGATCTCCAAAGATTGACGCGTACCTGTTGTACGGTCGATTGCCCCACAAGTGAGCGAAACTATTGACAGAGAAGGTTGAATTCAGCGCCCACACATAGCGGACAATTACGCTGCTTATGCTTATGTCCCAGGTTTCGTTCCATACATAGACCGGTACTACAGCCGGCAGGACAAAGCACAGTGGCACCATAATCAGAGCGTAATACCTGCAATAAAGAACATTCTAGTGTCAGCAAGTGTTACACATATGCAAAGCCCAATACGTGTAATCGCATCCCGTTCCTTTACGACCGTGTAAACCAAGCATATAAATCAAAATAAATTGCGATACAAGCGTTCAATTCCACTCTCTGATGAGACACTTTACACTGATTGATTACTACTTAATCTCTCTCATCTCGAGGAACAACGTGTCACGCAATTTCAAACACTGCGGATAATTACGAAACGATTTCGCGAGCAATCCAACTCAATCATCGTAATCTTTTTTTATATACAAACGTCGAACTCCATTTCCCGTTTATTTTTTACAGCTCTGAATACAAATTGTGTAATATTATCTAGGTTTTGTTCCTCACGAGCATCTCTTCAAGTTTCCTTCTTCTTTTATTTCAAGCCTTCATTTATATCACGAATATAATGAGAAACTTGTAAATTATTTCTATAGAATTTTTTGCCAGACATTTTCTCATTTGCGCTTTTTTATTTATATTATTTCGTTTTTTTGTAGAAAAATTTAAATTTTTTTCAAATTCTTTTGTGCTATGGATTAAACATAATATATAATAATAAGAGAGGGAGAGAGAGAGAGAGAGAGAGATCTTATCTTGAAAAACATAAAAATGATTTGGAATTGATAGATTCTGTTGGAAGTATATTTTGTTATGCAACAGAGAGAGTTGATGATAATGTAATTGAAATTGATATGTGTCAGTAAATTCGATCGCCGTAAGTCGATTATGCGACTAATTACATTATTAATTACAATAGCAATTAATTACATTTTTCGAATGTGAACGTTTTATCACAAATTAGTAAAGAATGCGTCGTTGCTTTGAATACGCCGAATTATTAGACTCACTTGTCAACAAAGCGTATTACAGAATCAGCAGCGATATCGCTCATATCCACATTTTTACCGTATTCCTTAACTGCTGGATGATGCTTCATCATTAACCAGCCAATGTGTGAGAAAAAAAAGCCGCGATTAGCGTTATGTGGATCTGCGCATGTATCTGTGTATCTATGATGTGTTCGATGAACACGGAGCCATTTAGACGGATGAGTCTGCGAAAAAGGAAAAATTTTAATAATTAGAATTAAAATGAATGATAATTTCTTTCAATGTCCCCGCTGAGGAAAAACTTGATTACTATAAATTCTGCAAAAAACCACAATTGCAAGATTCTAAATGAAAAAAATCTGAAATTTTCAATTATATATTTGAATCATTGCCGTATTAATAAAAAAATATCAAGTAAACGTATATTTTTAAATCAGTGAATGCAATAAATAAATACATTAATTATAAAGTTACATTATATTGTATTCTCCAGGCAACAAGTGTAAATATCTCTTCAAATATTTCAATATTAGGGCTATTCGAGCTGTGCTAGACGTCAATGTGAACTTATATATGTATTATAAAACAATAAACAAGTCAACGATTATTCAAACGTTTCGACACTTACTGTGGTCATCCTCAGTCTGAGTCTCGAATAACCCTAATATTAAAATATTTAACTCGGCCGACTCCCAGCCAAGGTAATATTTTTCGCAATAAGAATTAATTATTTACAGATTTTAATATCATTCAGCATTATTAAGGTCATTCGAAGAAGCATCAATTTATTAAATTGCTAGTCAATTTAACTCGTGATATTACTGCGGTAGTTTAGTAGAGTTAGCGTTACCGAAAAATCATTTCGGCGCGCGTTTCAAAGGACTACATACGTAGTATATAAATTCACACGGAATCATACAAGCATTTAAGATCCAGTTAGACCGTTTAAGGCTTTGATTTCTATAGTTTGTGAAATATTTAAATTTATGTTCTCTTAGAGCCTTTCTTTAAAGTTAATTAATTAGTAATTATTTCTAATACAATATATAAAAAATTAAAGGACTTATTCTGCCTACAAAAGTAAACAATTTTCAAAAGAGTATAACTTCAAAATTGATCACAATGAAACGAAATGCATTTTAAAGTTTGAAGTCTTTATTTTTCAGATCAGTAGTTTAGATAACGATTTGACTGATTTTTTACGGAATTACAAGATACAAACGAAGATTCGAAATCTCAAAATTTTTTATGAATTTTACAAAGTTCCATGGTGTAAATTAAAAATTGCATACGAAAGCAGTTTACAATTTTCGAAAGAGTGAATCTTTAATTTACGTATTTGTGGAGTGTTATATAATACAATCTTTTTTTACCAAGTTATTCAACAATAACGCAAAAAGTTTCTTTTTTTACTTTGACTATTCACAGAAAACGAATAGCCTATCGTTAGGTTCTATTCTTTAAAAAAGAATAGAAAGGTTTAAATTTTATCTAAGTTACACCAATTATTTTTTTTATATAAAGAAACTTTTCGTATGTAAACTTTGCTTAAATGAGGCTAAAAATTAAACGATTAATATATTATTATCAACTATATATCCTGGCGAAAAACATTAAGAACATTATAATCTTAATGATTCATGTCCTTCGTATTCGAAACAATTTTGTGCAAAACAACATTCGTTTGATTATATCGCAGTATTTATGTGTATGTATACGGTGTATATGTATATGTATACGATAGAGAAAATTTAGAATTTCTTTCTATTCGTTTTTCTTTTAAAAATACTAAGCGATGTTCTGTTGATCTTCTATGAGCAGTCAAAGTAAAAAGAGACACTTTTTGCTGCAATGTTGAACAATTCGGTGAAAGAAAATTGTATAACGCTCAACAAGTACGAAGCAAAAAAATAAGAATTCACTCTTTCGGAAGCTGTAGACTGCTTTCATCATAAAATGTATATTAATATTTATATATCCCTGTAACTCTCTCTATAAAAAAATCAATCAGATTTTTTTTTGTTATTTAAATTATCGATTTGAGACTACAGTATAGAAACTATAAGCTTTAAAATACTTTTTGGATCATCTCTTTGGATGATCATTTTTGACAAAGTGACACTCTCTTGAATAATGCCTATCTTTGAAGGAATAGGTAATCCTTCAATCTTTTGGCATAAAATGTTCTGTTATTTTACAATATTAGCACAATTATTTGAGGATTCCTATTACAAAAAGAAATAGATCTAAAAGTAATAGCTTGTGGTAAATTATAATAAATTTTAATATGTGGGTTATTAACTGATCGGACATAACGACTGTAATACTTAAGAATTTTACCTGGCCAGCCAAGCAATATAAAAAAACAAGTAGTATTCTAAGTGGCAATTTGGCGCTATAACTCCTATGTGCCCAAAGACGATGAAGACCAGCTGTTATGCCAAAACCAGCAGACAGTAAATATAAGATTGCTGAAAATAAACAATAAATAAAACAGAAGCAATATCAGATCTTTTCTTTCATTGTTTACTATGTATTAATGATAATGATAATAAAATGAAAAAATGTTTATAGGAACATGTCAAAATATTAAAATAATTTTTAGTTTATAAATAATTGAGAACAAATGATACTTTTTAAATTAAATTTGAAATGTACAAAGAAATAATGTAATTTTATTTTTTAATTGATCTCAGTGAAATTTAATTTAACATAATTTTAATTTAAAATTTGTCCACTAAAATCTCAAACTAAAATTGGGAAATGTTTGGAAATGAGAAAATGTGAAATTAGAAGATACAACGAGTAATAATTTCTCGTGATATTTCTGCTGAAAAAAAATTCTTACAAATTTCACCAAAAAAACGCGCTTAAGCTATTTTCACTGATTCCAATGCCTATAAACATTTAATACACTATTCAACGAAACTCAATAGTATCGAAATGATACAAATAAATGAAATTATAATGGAAAATTAATTGATTTAATAAATACGTACACCACATCCAGGTCCAAAATTTCGCTTCGTGATATCGCGTGGCAAACAAATAGATTGCGACGATATGGAGAACGATGATGACAATAATATTACGCCAAATTAATGGCTGCTTCGCCGGCATGTGCTTCGGTGGTTGATTGAGATTCGAATCCCTGCCATTTTCCGTTCCTGGTTGCACTAACATTTGATTTTTATTGTCCTCGTATTTGGTTATCGTTGAACTGTACATTGCTAGAAATATTTGGAACAATATTGGCATTTTTATTTTATCCATGTTTTAACTATCGCTTATATTTACCTTGTATACGCATTTATACATAAAAATATATCGCGATAAAAGATTTTAAAAAAATTGCACTATCTCGAGAGAAATAAATATAATAAATCATAATTTAGTTAGTTTATCTTCTAATATGTCATTTTATCGGGCTTTAACACAAATCCTTATTTTATTCTATTATCTAATCTTAACATACCTATTAATTTACAAAAATGTTGGTTATGTTTGGTGCAAAATGATTGTATTTTTATAAATTCACAGAATAATTCTATAAAAGCAGATTTAAAAAAAACACAAATATATCGATCTCTAATATAACCAATATATTAAGTATTTTTAAAAGAAATAAGAAATCTGCGTGAAAATTTTAATAATCAAAACAAATAATATAAAATTTAATTAAAAACAACTAAACTGCAAAATAAGAACTAAGAAAGTAAAAAGCATAACAAGTAAAAAAAATATAAATTTGCATCTATATGTTTGCATGTACAGTATTAAGAAATCAAAAATATTTATCTTAATATTAAGTAAAACGATATACATTATCATAAAGATGAGTTAATTACATATGAATAGTAGATTTTCAAAATGCATTTTTTCCAAAATATTTTTTGAAATTTTGATAGATGACGTAGTGTTCAATAATGAAAGACACATATTATAAACTACTTTGAAATGTTCAAAAAACATGTTTTCAGCATCGATCTATATACTGAAAAAAAGAGACAAACCAAATGCATTTGTTTAACATTATTAGAAATTGTTTAGCAATTTTATTTCACATTTTACATCTTACTGATTGATAAATTGTTATTTTCTGTAAGGCGTGTGGTTTCCTTATTGCTTTCTTTCTCGTTTTCTGAAAATTATAAATTTTGGACAAAACGCATTTTGAAAGTGTGTTCCTCATATATTACATAACATGTTATTTACAAAATTACACGGCAAATCCATCATCTAAGGATTTCATTATATCAGTATCCTTATTAGGGCGATCTCGTGTTAACAAGCCCATTGTTAGCAGTACAACTGCCGTCTTGATATCCCGACGTGTAATTATCTGTATTAGACGGACATCTAAATCGCCGTATCGACGAACGAGACGCGTTTCCCAGCTCACATGTAAGTCAATGTGCGATACGCGTACTCGTATCGCTGCATCGTACCACTAATAACGAGCATAATTTCAACATCTGCAACTCTCTCGTGGCAAAGTCAGTAGTATTCCCGCACTCCTGCTCGAAATGCGAGAACGCAAGTTCGTGGTCAAGGCAATTACGCGTCACGCATTGCTAACCGATTCGTTACGCCGAGACGCGTTTGACGTGAAAATCAACGTGAAATATATATACATATATCTAAGGTGCTATGTGTCGATAACGCTATCCTTTTGTGATTGCAACCTATAGTCAGCCCCCCCCCCCCACACACACAATAAATAAGTTTTGCAATAAAAGCCTTTACACAACTCACATACATCTAATATTAATTTATAAATTCGAAAAATTATTTTATATACATATATATATATATATTGTAACTGTTTTTTTAAGATTCATTTAAGTATCACACTTACTTTTTCAGATGTTTGAAACAAAAAACTCGTGAAAGTAAACCGCAAGTATTTTGATTCGCTCGATTAAACAATCAATTGTGGAGATATTTATAACTACTGCTTATGTCAGATACAACTACTGATGCTTTTATATCAAATTTTTAAAAGGAACATAATTTTTCATATGACAACGTGTTCAATTTCCGCTTGATATGTATTCAATTACAGAACATAATAATGAAAGTAGGTACAAAAACGTACAAAAGCTTGCAATAAAATGGATGATTATCCGCAGAATTGGCAAGTAACGTGTTATTTGTAACGTCGTTACCGTTACAAGTTACTTTTTTCGATAACGAATGGGTAACATTACATTTTCTTCTGAGTAACGTTCATTGTAACGCAGTTACATTTTTGGGGTAATGGTAACGATTTCACTAGTTACTTTTATCGTTACTTTATTTCTAGCCACTGCCACAAAGTTTTAGTCGTAACTAAACCGTGTATATATATTTTATATATATATATATGTTTTTGATCTTTATTCCTCTACCAAAAGATAAAATTCTAACTTCTTTTCAGAATATTTATCGCAAAAATCATATAGCAGCATTTTTCATTGACAAAACTAGTGCGTACTCAGTACAACTTACATCCGTACACACAAATCGACATAAATGTGTATGTTTAATAAAAATATAGAAACATAATAAACCACGAAAAAAATCTTCAATACATTTTATTATGCTATTTGATAAAATAGCATAATAAAATGTATTGAAAATTTTTATATTAGATAAAATGCCCTTTGGATATTACCATATATCAATTGAGATATTTCATTTTTATATTCAGATTAAAGTAGTGTACAACGGTTTAATGTGCACTGAGTTTTGCCAATGAAAAACGCTATAATATTTTTGTTAGCATCAAGCAAAAAAAGTAACAAAAAATAACGACTCGTTACATTTTGAGTATCGGTAACGGTAACGAGTTACTTTTGTAAATTAATAACGAGTAACGATAACGAGTTACTTTTGAGGAAAAAGAACGGTAAGGATAACGAGTTATTTTTGTGGGGTAACGTTGCCAACTCTGAATTATCCGTATCCTATAATAAGCTATTATCCGACTAGAAATTTATCCAGGGATTTTAGCAAGTCCTAATCAGGTTGACCTTATTTCGTTATCAGGTCCTGAGAAGGTAAGTTCATCGGGACCTGATCAGTCATGTAACGCGTAGCACAGTAGGGTCCTCATCTGGATAGTCTCATCAGGTCTTGATGAGGATCTGATAAGGACCTCATTAGGATCTAATAATGAAATAAGGTCAATCTGGCTAGGACCTATTAAAATCACTGGATAAATTTCTTATACATACTGACGTCTAATCGTACAATTCAATATGTAAAGATTTAATTTGTCGATGTGAAATATAATTGTAATATAATTGTAAAAACTATATTATATATATACGTATATATATATATATATAAAAGGGAAATCAGTGCACAAAAAAATTAAGTCAAAAATTAAGTCAATGTAATAAAATAAATTTACTTAAACGAAGAGCATAGTACTACATGTTTTGGCTCACTTTTGAGCCATCTTCAAAGCTTAGGTACACGTAATATCGAATTATGTGAAGTAGTAGATTGTATAAAAATTATGGTTAATGTGCTATCAAGTTCAATGCTATCACTCACAAAACTTTCTTCATTGCAAAACTATTTGCGAATGTAGTTAGAAAGTTTCTGGTATTATCACATTAACTTTACTTGTATTTTTCCGTTATATTATGCTCTACATTTTATTATAATTATTAAATTTATGGGCAAGTTTTTTCCTATTATATGTAAGTATACAGACATCAGTAGAATTTTTTATATCGAGAAAAATTGTTTATATTACAAAGAGATGTAATAATTATCGAATGATATCGATTCACTACAGAAATAAAAATGGAAAATAAGGTTGACGTTACTTTCGAGCTTCTTATAGTTTTTATTGTAACCAAATTGATTTTTGATAGTTGCGACATAAAAATTTAATAATGATAATTGAGAACTAATACTGTCTCCACGTCGATGCATCTTTCTCGTAAATAGAATGCTAAGAATCTCGAATTATATTCAAATTAATACGTAAAATTTGATTTCTTTAAACAATGTACTTTTACGCAATCTGATTCGCCTTGTGACAGACTATTAGCAAAATTATAACAGCTACATTATTTTCGTTGACACTACCGATTTCGTCGAATCTTTATCGGTGATATTCGCGCATCGTTTAGTTCTAACAAGCAGCAACGTAATCTACAGAGTAATAGCGGTCGTACCCCGTGGCCCGCTCATAAAGCGCGGTCGCGATTTCTCGGCTGTTTTGTTTCCCCATGTACAGTTCGCGTAAGGACTGGTGCAATGACTTACGTTAATATGTATGAACCAGCCAGGGGATATTTCTGCTGGCGTAAACGCGGATAATGCGCGCCTCTATCGCTACCGCCTACGCTGCTGCGGATCCCGCGGTTTACAACTCCCCTTTCTTGTAATCCCACTGCGGGCTTAACGTGGCGAAAATGCACGCTAAATCGCGTTTGGTACCGAAACAATGAGCAAGAAAGTACGATTGCGCAAAAGCCCGTAAAGTTCAAATAGCGTTCCTGAATATTCGCAAATAATATTCTGGCGCAAATAAGCCAGTCTAATAACATGATATTTATCGAGATTGTGCGTAATCTGTTTCTAAACACAAAATCGATCAGTTTATTTGATTTATTATTTTGTGCATTTGTTATCCGTATTTATCGACAGAAAATTCAAAATTTATGTATTCAGTAATACAATTGAATATTGGGCCAAAATGATTCAATTACATATACTCTCTTGTTGACATATCTATTAAGTGGTTCACGTCCAAAACAAGTTGTTTATTATACAGTGTATCTATATATTATCTATCATTTAATAATTGATATATAAACATAATGTTATTATAAATATGTTCCTTCGATGATTACTATCTCCTCGTTATACGTGACACAAGAAATGTTTGATGCATCAAATCGATATATCTTGGTAACTTTCATGAGAGCTCCATCAAAGTTACGATCCGGTAAGAGGAAAATCATGCCCGTAACCTATATTCAGAAAGTATGTCTATTCGCGTGCATTGTTATGCATCGAGGTCGATGTTGAAATCTACCGATAAGCTCCTCTGTCATCCCTGCCGTGTTCACTCTTTGCATTCTCATTATATCTTGATCATATATCCTATCTTTTTTCTCGGCAAATGTCATACACGGCGTATATCAACAAAATTTTCGTTAACCATATTGTTTACACACACAAGTCAGAATAATTATAATTCCTTAAGATG